GAATGGGAAGGTGTTGACTCGGGCTCATCAAAAGAGCGACAAGGCAATGCGGGAGGACAGCCGAAGGCAGTAGAGGAAAAGAAGGAAGTCGATAAGGGAGGTTTCAGCCTTGCAGGGAAACAAGGACGGCGTGTCGGGCGCCGCGAGCGAGAGAAGGAGAAACGCCGACTGGACGCCCTGCTTGGGATACCAAGCATTGCCGACCAAGGCGCTGTCACTACGTCCGACGATAACGACGATTCAGCAGCCGACGTTTACGATGACGATCCGGAGGACGAAATATCACCCAACCTTGCGAGGAAGTGGAAACAAGCAGCCGACACGGAGCGTACAGCGGATCTCTATTCTTCTGAGGGCGGAGAAATCCTCTCAGCCGGCTTGCGGGCGTGGCATCAGCAGCGCAGGTCCCGTACCCTAGGACTTTCGTCCCTGGGATCGGAGCTGGGATTCGAAGCCCCTGGCGTGGGGACTGGTAGTGGGAGCAGGACCCCTAGACCCGCTGACAATGCCCGTATCGATGAGCTGGAGGCTGAGGAGTCACTTGTTCTCGACGATGCACCTCTTCCCCCCGCTATGAATGGGACAGGGACATCGGTGACAGGGCATAAGAAGAAGAAGAGGTCTCGGCGTGCCCGTACTCTACTGGCGCGCTCCAAGTCTTACCCTAACCTTCGAGCTGCCGCAGAGTTGGGTACGGAGTCGCTGAAGAGGCGGTTAGGATTCTTGGGGTCTGGTGGTAGTGCTGGCTCCGGAGCGGGTCCCAATGGGTTAGACCTCGAAGCAGGTAATTGGCTTCTACTCGACCATATCATACCAATGACTGACCTGGATACAGACCTTTACCTGGACCAGAACAAGCGCAACAGACTTTACATCCTGGCGCACAAGCTTCTCACTGCTTTTCCTGAGCAGAAGCGAGACTTGAAGCGAATCATTCTTAAACTCGAACAAAGCACCTTGAACGGTGCTACGTCCTCTTCTTCAAGCACCAAGAAAAAAGGACATAAGAGGAGCACAAGCAGCGGCGGGTATACAAGTGGCGGGTATGGAAGTGGTGCCGGAATAGGGATAGGAACGATACCCTCCATGGCATCGTTCAGCAACCCTGATTATATTGACTATGACGAGCCTCAAGATCCTGCAGAATTCGACGTCCAAGGTCCAGCTCACACCCCTGGAGCAAGTATTGTTCATGTCTTCATCGACCAGTACGTGTGTGGTTGCGGCTTATTTAAGCAGATGAAACTCAAACGCCTCATAGCTCGAATATCCTCATCGGCCTTCTCAACTTTCTCAGACGGCACCCGCCTCCACAGAGCACAGTGGACGAATACATCACTTCTCGCACGAGGCTTACTTCACATTCGACACCAGCCTTGATCGACGTGGAGGTTGATGGCGAGATATCGATTCCTAGCCATAACGCTGACAACCCCCGTACCCGTAACGGCTCGAAGCCGATTCCCATACCGGGAAAAGGCAAAGGCAAGATGCCTGTTGTCGAAACACCTACACCGTCAGCAGAGGAATACCCTATCCCCCTCCCTTCATTTGCAACAGCCAAATCTAAAGGCACACCTAAACGCCACTCTAACCCCCAAGCAAGCCTTGTGGCGCTTTCCAAATCCCTTCCATCCGAGTCCTTCCTTTCGCAGGGTCAGGCCGGTGCTGGCGATGAAAGAGTCTTGGACTCCAATGAAGAAGGGAGCCGCTCAGATGGGCGGTTGAAGAAGCCCTTGCCTCCCAAGTTTCCTAGACACATTTGGCATGCAGCTTTGGTTTTGATCCTTGAAAGGGGTAGACCTGTGAGCAGGAGAGTTGTGGTCACCAGCAGCCCACTTCATCAGCCGATGGAAAAGATTATGAGTCTGGGGTATGAAGTCAGGGTTTTCATTCGGGTACCTGACCTCGGTGAGTTCGACGCTTCCACATGGCTGAATCTGAGCTAAAGCATTTGGTTTAGGTGACGGAATGGACCGACGCGAGAAGGAAAACCGATTCTCCAACGGCAACAACAGCGGCAGCGGAGCGGGTAAATCCAACGCATCCCAAACCTCGCATTCCAAGTCCGGCGGAGCCTTTGGAACATCTTCGAGCCCGGGTGGAAAAGGATTTGTGTATGGTGCTGTCTCTGCTGCTGGAAATGGTGTTGGTTCGCCTTCAGGCTCTCTCGCGGGTACACCCAATGCGGGAGTAGGAACCCCAGCCAAGAAAGGTCATGCTCGGCACCTATCAGGCTATACCAGCAACGAAAGTGGAAGCGGGTCGAACAGAGACAACAAGGGAATAGGTGGCCCTTCACCCGGTGGGTACTCTCTCTTCTCGGCCCTCTTACCCAGTCATTGACAACTCTTGGATAGGCACCCCAGCCAAAGTCCGGTATCGAGAGCAAGGCGTCGACGAGTTGCTTCAGCTTAAACTTCATCAAGCGCTCGCCGATGTCGATAATGTACCCAAAGGCTCTACGATTGTCCTGGCTACAGGTGATGGGAACGTTGGCCAGTTCAACGAAGACGGATTCTTGGGTCCGGTCAGGCTTGCGTTAAGGAAGGGGTGGAAGGTCGAGCTGTACGCTTGGGAAGATGGCTTGAGTGAGTGTTGTGTTGATCTTTTTGGCCCATCCAACCTAACACGGCTACCGCTGCGCAGGCAAATCGTGGAGGAGGGAATTTGGCGAAGGCAGTGAGTATGGCAAGAAAGGTCTGTTCAGGATCATTCCTTTGGAGCAATTTGGCACTAGTCTCGTCGAGGCTGCAGGATGGTAATCATCATCTGACCTTTCATCCAACATCGAGGATGTCCAGCGCTGTTCCATCAATGGAACGATCTGTTCGAATGCTAGAAAACGACGCAAATATGTTTGTGGATATGGCGCAGCATAGCTCGAGTCTGAGCTGCGATCGGATCCAAGATGGAGAAGAAGAGTCTTGTTTGTGTGTACATTAATTTTTAGATGGATTTCTGCTCTGTTTTCACGACTCATAACGACTGCAAACTTGATGTACATTGTACTGACTTGATGTATTATATTGTTACGGTTCAATTAACGCCGACCGTGGATCGCCGACCTCTCTGGGCGGTACAGGCTATGGGCGGTTATCAGTTACCTGCAGGAAGATCTCCACCGCCACCCTCCGATACAGTTAGGCGCCGAACTTTAAGCTGCAGAGCAGATAGGTTTCAAATGAGAGACATGCTTCTACACCAGGGTTATTGTATGTTTTCATGTACCACGTATGGCGCGCCTTGCCAACCTCCTTCCCTGTGTCCTTAGGTCTAATCCTCTTCTCGCCAGACGAGCATAACCATTTGTTCCGGTGTCTGCGGGATCCTTAGTGAATGCTGAATTGAAAATGTGGAATACATACTGATATCTCTCTTCAGCTCTGCCAGCTTGGCCGGCTGCACAGGAGGGGTATTACCCAGGCCTGGTCGCCTCCACGGACGCAGGTGTTGACCACTGATAACTATTGGCATGCCTAGCGAGATCTCTCCATCGATGCCTGCTCCTAGGTACTTGGTAGCTGGCTGTCGAGGCCCATTTCCAAGAAGCTTATTCGAAATCATCGCTACTCTGAAGTTTCCGTTGGGGTCAGGACCCGCTACGATCACCCCCGGATGCATCGTCGTTACTTTCTACTCGCAAACATTTAGCTAACCTTGTGGGTGCCAATAAGGACATTGAGCGCCTACCGAATTGGCCTCGTAGTACTTTGCTCTCGCTCCGATAACATCTCCCATTTTCCAGACTGGAAGAGGCGCTACGGGACCAGGACGAGGAGGGGCAGGCCTTGGTTGGGGCCTTCCACCGCCGATTCTGTCCAAAGGATTGTTCGGTGGGGGATGCCAGCCAGAGCCCCCGGCGCCCGGGGTGGATTTGTCACCGCGCAGTTTGGCTGGAGATGCCTTTGGGGCGGACTTGGGCGGTCCCTTTGGTGGAACCGCAGCGATAACAAAGAGGTTCGAGATGCAGCATAGTTGCAGGAGAACGAGCAAAAGGTAAGGGATCTTGCCAAAGGAGACAATCATGGCTGTCGATAGGGTGCCACACGGAGAGATTGAGTTGTTTGAGAAAGCAGGAGGACCAGCTCCTAGCTCTTTGTTGCGAGACCTGCTCAGGGGATGAGAATAGAATGAGCCCAAGCTGAGCTTATATTACTCCGGGCGTACTTATATTTACCTCTTGTCAGCAACCCCTTTTGATAGATCGTAGGTCCATGGTCATAGCCAAGGTGCGATGCGTATCAAAAGAAGCCGATGGATTGGCAGGTTCTAGTTCAAAGCGCCCATATTGTTACAAGTCAATTGTACAGCTATACTTTGTTTACTGATTGAAAACTATGCAACAAATGCAACAGTGGACAGCAGACGGTAAATTGAACAAGAGGCAAGCGATTAGGTAGCTCTGCATCATCATGGGACAAGTGCGATTAGTGATGTGACGCTCATACAAGCGCCCATGGAGTCTTGGTGACTGCGAGAAGAGGTTGTGATGGGAATGAAATGTACTGAGGGGGAAGACATGTCGCATAAGTTTCCTCCTAGAAGTCAAGGCTATCTCCCCTCTTTTCCTTGATACGTCTGAGTATCTGATTGAAGCCGGCCAGCGTGTTCAAAGAACAGCTGGGAATCGCATCCTATGCCACTGCCAAAGGCATCTGATCTAACAGCCATGTCGACGTTGACATACCGCGTGATGCGGCTGTAATCCTATACAAGGAAAACCTTGTCTGCTGATTAGGCGCCCAAGATACAAGAAGCTGGATATAACACCGCTTCCAGTGATAAGTGACGGAGAGAAGGTGATGCTAGATTGCGAGCTAGAGCTATTTCAAATTCCGATATTCCGCTCTCTCGCCGATCGGTAGGCGAGGGAACTGGGCAGCCAGCCTGCAAAGATTGCAGGTCGCAAAACCGTTCCTATTTTTTGGGACTTCTTTTGCAGTGTTCCGAACGGTATTTTGGCATGGAGAAGGTCCAAAAAGTGAGCGAAAAACGTATACACCGAACGGGAATCGAACCCGTGCCGCTTGCTGCCCCATTCAACGGGTTCGAATCCCGTCAATTTGTGGAAGGCAAGCATGATAACCACTTCACCATCGGTGTGTGTTTAAAAAAAGAATCATTTTTGATAACCATAAGGGCTTCGCGCCCGTAACAACAGAAGTGTAGCTCGAATCCTTCTCATTCGCTGAAGCTGGCTCAGAATTGCGCACAGGGAGACCAGAATTCCTACCAGCGGTTCATGAATCATGTCTCGTAGATGTCGCCTTTGAGTTGGTTACAGCATCAAATGCTGGGCTGTCCATAGAGTGATGGCTGATGTGCGGTACTGAGATCCTCCGCGCCGAGGCTAATGGACCTGCAACCCTGGTTGGTCCAATACTTCGACGATGTCTACTCCCTGGCTGGCCCAAACTTTCCTCAAACATCCCCACAGCGGCAAGGCTACCGAAGATGCAGGCTCATCTCGTGGTATTGCCTCTGCCATATCCACCGTTCACAACGTCCGCTCGGCGGTAGGCTCAGAGTTCCAGAGCGTAAAGTCTGCGATCGAATCCAAGTTCAAGGGATCTCCCAGTCCCAAGAACCCTTTCGATGACCCCCGCGACCGTCAGCAACCTCCACCGCCCCAACAGAGGAGGCAACCTGCTGGTTTTCCCACCAATCCTAGGCCAAGGCCGCAGCCCATGGCAGGCCCTCCATCTGCCGACTGGCAGAAGCAGCAGTATCCAGTTCGTACTGCAGACCCTCGGGTTGCTCAATTTGACCACAGAGGACCCGACCCAAGGCCCGTGCACAGGAGTCGAGAGAGGCGATACGGCTACCAGCCTCGAGGCCCACCGCCCCGCTACGATGGTATGGCGCCCGTACCTAGGTCAGCCTTGCCTCCTGGCTATAACCCACAAACCCCTCCTTCGCGCCAACCGCCCTCTCATTGGCCCAGTGAGAAGACCCCTACCAGCCCCTACCAGCCCAGACAGCCTCCTCTGCGCTCTCCGCGTCCCCCGCAGGTCCCCCACACTGCACACCCCGGAGGTGCTTTCCCCCGATATGATTCCTCATCGGAGAAGGGCGGCTCTCTCCAAGTTCCTGACAGCGCTCCTGGTAAAGAGCCCAAGTCTGCAGGCGGCGACAAATGCGTGTTTCTCGAGTCTTTCAGCAAAGTCAAGGCTGCAATCTCTCCAGCGCCCAAGTCTGCGACCCCCAACTCTGCAGCTTTGAACTCTGCAGCGCCCAACTCGGGTGCTCCACGGTCCGCTGTTCCAAATTCGGCAGCGCCCAACTCTGCCTTTGCATCGCCGGCGTATTCGCCCATCCCTCCTCCTACAGAGAAGGTGCCAGTCCATATGGGAACTCGACAACACGGGTACTACGAGTATCAGACTCCTGGAGCACAAACGCAGTTTGATTCTGTCCCTTCACGCACTGGAACCCCGCGCTCAGCCGCACAGTTTGATCACCGTCATGGAACCCCTCGCACACACGAGCTTCCTCCGGATTGGGCTGCCCCTCCCACCCCGAACGCTAATCAACAGACTCTCGACTACAATGCCGCTGCTGAGGCAGAGGACAAGAAGTTTGCCGAGGAGGAGGAAGCGGCCAGACCTTTGACCCTCAAGGAGAAAGCCCTAGAGTAAGTGTCGAGGCGTACTTCGAGGCACACGATATTCACCTCTTTCTGTAGCTTCTGGATCAGGTTGAAGCTCTGGCTTCGTCGCCAATTTAAGAGGAGGTCATCGCGTATCCCGTCTTTCAATGCGGATGTTGAGGCTCAAGCCCTGGACGAGATCGAGAAGGAGATCCGCGAGGCCTTCATGTTGTCTTGGTGCACCTTGGTCGGAGCGTATGTTACCACCTTTTCCTCCCATATCACTGGCTGATTATCTTCATCCTCATAGCTGGCTCGTACAATTCACCACCTTTGGGTAAGTTTTTACATCGCACATTCGCATCTTGGTACTGAAGTCTATTCAGTTACATCTGGTCATGGGGCGTGTTCCAGGACTACCTCTTGAACCACTACCCCAAAGCTCACCCTCTTGCTAAGAATCTAGCGTACGTGCTTGCTCTCCTATCCAAAACTTGGTAATCTGAAGAGTGCGACAGATGGGTTGGAAGTCTTCAGCTTATGATGGCCTTCTCGTTTGGTATCGTTGCTGGCAAGCTGTTCGATAGTGGCAAGTTCCAATGGACAATGATGGGCGGCTCTCTCATCTTTGCAATGGGGTAAGATGCATGCGGCTCCTTTGGCCTCTACAACTCACCGCCATCCACAGATCTTTCATCCTCTCCTTCGTTGACCCCACAAAGTTCATCCATGTAAGACCGTCCATGTCAACACTGAACAACCAACTCACACATCCCTAGCTCTTCCTTGTCCAGGGCCTGTTCATGGGTGTTGGTCTGGGACTTGTCTTCGTTCCTAGCTGTCTTATCGTTCAACAACACTTCCACGATCGCAAGGCGCTAATGACAGGTATCGTCATGAGTGGCTCATCCTTCGGTGCCCTCGTCTACCCCGTCAGTAAGTAGCCAACCTCTGCTCTGCTCCTGGCTCACGCTAACCACGAGTTCCTAGTGCTTGAGTGAGTTTACTGATCAGCGAATACCCTTCGACTGGCTAACCTTCACTCCAGCAAACTCCTTCCTTCCAAAGGCTTCAATGGAGGTGTGCGAGCCACCGCGTACATGGTAGTCGCCCTGCTCGTCATCGCGAACTGCTTGATGTCTGTCCCACCCAAGAAATGGCAGCCCAAGTACCAGCCACCCAACCTGCTCGACTGGCTCAAGGACCTTCACTACGCTGCCGCATGTGGAGCGTAAGTCCCCTCCAACTTGATCCTGCGATATACTGCTTAGCTCTGCATCGGTCATCTAGTTTGTTCTTGGTGTTCTTGACGATGTGGTTCCCTCGTAAGTTGACTTTTTGATTGTCTAGCCAGCATCCTAACCTCTGTCAGAATACTGGCTCGAAGAGTTTGCGGTCAAGCACGGTGTCAACCCTCACGTCTCGTTCTACACTGTCGCCGTAATCGCTGCAGGTGGTATGATTGGACGACCCGCTTTGGGCTGGGCGGCAGATCGTTACGGTCCTTGGACGATGCTTCTCCCTACCACATTCTTGCTCATGCTCATGATCTGCTTGGTGACGGTGGTGTACGTAGCCCTTTCATCCGTCCCAGCACTGAATGTTAACGCGACACCATAGTAAGAATACTGCTGCTGCTGTGTTTGTTTCCTTGTTCTATGGAATCATCTCGCACGCGTGGCTTTCTTTGATGGTTTACGCTCTTTCGACTCTGGCAATTCGTCAAGGAGAACTTGGGTATGTCTACTGCTGTGGATATCCCGAACCATTTGCTGATTCTTATTTGCAGACGTCGTACAGGCTTTGCTTTGTCCGTCGGAAGCCTGGGTGCCTTCTTGGGCGGTTCTGCTCAAGCTGCCCTCCTTTCTGACAAATGGATCTGGGCAAGACCTATCGGACTGTTTGCAGTGAGTTTCACCCCTTTCATTTACTGTTATCTGATCCTCATGCCACTTTAACTTCAGTTCATGCTAATCCTGGCGATTGGCTTGATGGGATATGTGCGACATCTCATGATAATTAAGAAACGTACTGTCTACGTTTAAACTGGGAGGGTATGTTACATTACTGGCTTGGTCTAGTGGTACCATCCATTCTTCGTAATCAATAATATCGTTATAATCAACACTTGCTCCTTGAGCATTAGCACATTCGTATTAATCTACAACTCTTTCACTTGATGGATGATGGTGAGCCTTTCAGAAGGAGGAAGTGCCTGAATGGGGTCGGTCACTATCTCCATCCCACCGTGCAATATCCCAACGCGGTACATGGCGAGTAGCTGTGAACTGATTAGTTTACAGCCAACCCCGAGACGAGATGAAGGCACTGACATTATGAGCCGCATTCGAATGGGCGTAAACACCACCGAAAAAGGCCGCAGACATGTCCTTGCCCGAATTTTGCTTAATTAAACCGCGCCCACCTGGATGCTGGTCGACAAATGAAGTTACATCGTGGATGTACCCCGAGACCACGAGAAGAGTTCGGTCTTGGGATTCCCGTTGAACTAGAGCCCAGGTTAGCATGCCCGAAGCGAGAAAGAGGAGAAAAGGAACTCACATTGGTCCCATGTGAGGATTGGCAAGGCTTCTGGCCGAGATGGCCAGTCCAACGAGTCTTGAAGGCTTTTAAGCTCTTTGAGTTTCATAGTGTACATCCCTTTTTTGATTTCGTTCTCGGGGAATACGCGCAGCTGAGATGCGAATCCGAACATGGAGCAAGCGGCAATGAACCACTTGGTGGGGTCATACTGGTACCAGTGGAAAGCATTGCGATAATCCATGGGAAACTGGTGGTGGAAGTTGTGGTATCCTTCCCCCATAGTCAGGATGGCCGACAGGAAGTGATCCCGAGGAGAGAGCTCATCGTCGTAGGGCGAAGACCCTAACCAATGTGCTATAGAGTTGATACAGAAGGTGCTCTAGGGATGACGGGTCAGCAACGGGAACGAGGAGTAGTGAATCCCGAGAACTGACGTGATGAGCAATGGTCAATCGAAGCATCGCAGAAAAGTACAAACCGCCGGCCCAGTCCTGCCAGAGCAGACCAGGAATAATAGCCGGGCATAGGAAGCCAAAAATAGCAGCGAAAAAGAAGTAATGGCGGTGTTGGAACTGAATCAGAGAGTCCTTCTTGAGATCCGATGCGTCTGCAGGCCCGGATCGAAGGTCGGATTTGTATATCATCCATCCAATATGAGTCCAAAGGAGACCTCGTTTCGAGTCGTAAGGATCGAGGTCTGTGTCCGTGTAGCGGTGGTGAGAACGGTGCGTTCGTGACCACCAGTAGCATGACCCTTGCACTGCGCTGCTACCCCCTGCGATTAGGAAGGATTGCAACAGACGCGACGCGTTATAGGATCGGTGCGACCATAATCTGTGATACCCTAAGATCATTGAGTGTGGGTGCGATGGGGTGAACGCGGGGTTGCTCACCAGCTGTAATTCCTATAGAGGGCATACGTCAGGCCAGTCAGAAGGGCCATAAAGAGTGGGACATACCAAGCATGCTG